TCAAAAGGTATCCCAGGTCAGTGTATAGGTCCAATTTGGCTGAATGAGAGAGACTATATAGGAAATTCTTGGAAAAATATGGCTAAAAATATATGTTGGATCCATATTAAGGAGGGTATCTAAAGCTAATGCGAAAGTGTTTTAACTTTTTCATATAGGCATTGAGGAACCTTAAGTTTCTAAAAGGGAAAAAAATGAAAACAATAATATCTTTTTCCATTAACATCTATGTTGGCACCATTATTGACCTTGGAATGTAAATTCTTATTAGAAAGCATCTGTATTTGTTCAATTTCCCTAAGAGAAGGTTACATTCAGAGAGGTATTCAGCAACCTATTAGCAATGAGCACCACAAGAACAAAGACTGTGGTATTATCATTTCTCATTAAAAGAAACCAAGGCTACTTGGAGAAATGGCTGACTCCAGGTCTGGAGCAGAATATTTATAAGATAAGTCTAAAACATTTTGTCATACCAGAAAGGAAGTAAGCTATCAAACACTTCACAGTTCTGGTCAAGAGAACTTAGGAGCTGACTTGGTGGGGTTCCTACTACTCAAATGAGAAACAATTTGAGCATCAGAGTAATAAATATAATAAAATATTTTTAAAATAATGCTACTTCAATAACCTGAAATACGTAAAAAATGTTAACATCCATGAGTTCACAAAATATAGGCATATCTTAGAAATATTGTGGGTTCAGTTCCAGACCACTGCAATAAAGCAAATACCGAAATCAAGTGAGTCACATAAATTTTTTTGGCCTCCCACATTATATAAAAGTTATGTTTATACTGCATGTAGTCTATTAAGTGTGCAAGAGCATTATGTCTAAAAAATGTACATCCCTTAAAGAATATCTTATTGTTAAAAAATGTTAACAATCTTCTGAGCCTTTAGCAAGTCATAATTTTTTTGCTGGTAGAGGGTCTTGCCTCGATGTTGGTAGCTGTTGACCGATCAGAGTGGTGGTTGCCAAAGTTTCAGATGGCTGTGGCAATTTCTTGAAATAAGACACAATGAAGTTTGCTGCATCAATTCACCTTCCTTTTATGAAAATTTTCTCTGTGGTATATAATGCTGTTTGATAGCACTTTACCCATAGCAGAGCTTCTTTCAAAACTGGAGTCTACCTTATCAAACCTTGTTGCTGGTTTATCAAGTAAGTTTATGTAATATTCTACACCTTTGTTGTCACTTTAACAATGTTCACAGCATCTTCACCAGGAGTAGATTCCATCTCAAGAAACCACTCTTTGCTTATCCATAGGAAGCAACTCTTCATCCATTCAAGTTTTATTATGAGATTGCAGCAATTCAGTCATATCATCAAGCTCCACTTCTAATTCTCTTGCTATTTCTACCACATCTGCAGTTATTTCCTCCACCAAAGTCTTGAACTACTCAAAGTCATCCATGAGGATTGGAATCGACTTCTTCCAAACACTTGTTTATGTTGACAGTTTGATCTCATCCCATGAATCACAAATGTTCTTAATGGGATCTAGAATGATAAATCTTTTTCAAAAGGTTTTTAATTCACTTTGCTTAGGTCCATCAGAGGACTCACTATCTAAGGCAACTATAGCCTTATGAAATGTATGTTTTAAATAATAAGATTTGAAAGTTGAAACTACTTGATCCATGGGCTGCAGAATGAATAGTGTGTTAGCAGGCATTAACAATATTAATCTCCTTGTAAATCTCCATCAGAGCTCTTGGGTGACCAGGTACATGCTCAATGAGAAGTAATATTTGGAAAGGAATCTTTTGTCTGAGCACTAGGTCTCCAAGTGGAATTACAATAGTCAGTAAACAATGTTGTAAACAGATGTACTGTCATCCAAGCTTTGTTCCATTTATAGAGCACAGGCAGAGTAGACTTAGCATAATTCTTAAGAGTCCTAGAACTTTTGGAATGGTAAAGGAGCATTGGCTTCAATTTAAAGTAACCAGCTACATTAGCCCCTGGCAAGAGAGTCGGCTTGTTCCTTTAAGCTTCTAAGCCAGGTGTTAACTTCTCCTCTCTAGTTATAAAAGTCCCAGAGGGCATCTTCTTCCAAGAGAACACTGTTTCATCTACATTAAAAATATGTTATTTAATGTAGATACCTCCATCAATCATAACTAGATCTTCTAGATAACTTGCTGCAGCTTTTCCATCAGCACTTGCCACTTCACCTTGCATTTCTATGTTATGAAGACAGCTTATTTCCTTAAACCTCATGAACCAACCTCTGCTAACTTCGAACTTTTCTTCTGCGGCTTCCTCACCTCTCTTTAACCTTCATAGAATCAAAGAGTTAGAGCCTTGCTCTGGATTAGCCTTTGGCTTAAGGGAAAGTTGTGGTTGGTTTAATCTTCTATCCAGACCACTCAAACTTTCTCCATATCAGCAATAAGGCTGTTTCACTTTCTTATCATTTGTGTATTCACTCAAGTAACACTTTTAATTTCCTTCAAGAAGTTTTCCTTTGTATTCACAACTTGGTTAACTGTTTAGCACAAGAGGCCTAGCTTTTGGCCTCACTTGGCTTTTGACATGCCTTCTTCATTAAAATTAATCATTTCTAGCTTTTATTTTAAAAAGAAATGTGAAAGTCTTCCTTTCATTTGAATAGCCATTGTAAGGTTATTAATTGGCCTATTTCTGATATTGTAGCATATCAGGGAATAGGGAGACCTGGGAAAAGGGATACAGATGGGGGAACAGCCAGTTGGTGGAGCAGTCAGAACACATGCAATATTTATCAATTAAGTTTGCTGACTTATATGGGTTCAGTTTGTGGTACCCCAAAACAATTACAATAGTAACATCAAAGATCACTCATCACAGATCACCATAACAGATATAATAATAATGAAAAAGTTTGAAATATTTTGAGAATTACCAAAATGTGACACAGTGACATGAAGTGAGCACATGTGATTGGAACAATGGCACCAATGGCCTTGCTCAACACAGGGTTGCCACAAACCTTGAATTTGTAAAAAACACATTATCTCTGCAGCACAATAAAGCAAAGTGCAACAACACGAGGTATGCTTTATACTTAAAAACTTGAAGGATATTGGGAAACTAACAAGTTATTCTGAAAACTAGGAAATAAAGGAGAAAATCACACAATTATCCTACCTCTTCTTATAAACTGTATAGATAATGAGATAAATTTATTTATTATAAAATAATTTCAGTTAGTAAATGTAGAGTGAATGATCAAATTAGAATATCACTATTTTGTAACTCCTAATGAAAGAATGGATGTAGCAAAACTATTAGCTGAAAATTTGATGGAAAATTTATGATGTTTATCATAACCTTTATTAGGTCAACAACATCGGAACCCAATGATAATTATAACATGACAAAAGAGAGACAAGCCTCCTAGGATAATGCAATAGGAAGTAAACTATAAGGCCTATGCCACCTTTTTGGAAAGAAAAATCAAACTTT